ATGTTGTATGCCATAAATATATAATTTTCATTTGTCAATTATGCCTTAATAAATAAAATTTATCCAGAAGACCCTAGCTCAATCCTCAACACCCAAAAATTTTTTAAAAAATTATGTCCTTAGCCAGGCGCCAGTGGCTCACACCTGTAATCCTACTTAGGAGGCAGAGATCAGGAGGACCAAGGTTGAAAGCCACCCTAGGCAAATAGTACATGAGACCCTGTCTCAAAAAGACCCATCACAAAAATAGGGCTGGTGGAGTGGCTCAAGATGAAGGCCCTGAGTTCAAACCCCAGTATCACAAAAAAAAAAAAAAAAAAATTACTGTCTTTGCCAGACACCAGTGGCTCACACCCGTAATCCTAGCTACTCAAGAGGCAGAGATCAGGAGTATCTTAGTTTGAAGACAGCCCAGGCAAATAGTTCGTGAGACCCTATCTTGAAAAAAATCCTTCACAAAAAAAGGGCTGGTGCAAGGTGTAGGCCCTGAGTTCAAATCCCAGTACCACAAAAAAAAAAAAGATAAAAATTAGTGTACTTCCAGCTGGTCCTAGGGTAGCTGCACAGAGATCATGGTGCTAGCTAAAAGCTTGTGACAAGTCTCAAGTCTTTTGCATTTCCTTGGGAAATTCTGGTGTGTGCTGCTATACTTGTCTTTACAGTAAAGAACAGACATTTTAAGGAGGGAAAAAGAGCTAGGCAAAAGATTTTCTGCCTGTGTTGAAGACTGACTACACAAGCCAATGAAGCCCTCAAGTTTGCTTCCAGGAGAGACCAGTCCTGTGACATTACGGAGGCTGAGGATGGTAAAAGTTAATGAAAGAGTTGGGTGAGACTGCCCCAATCCATAATCCCAGCACTGGGGAAAGTGAGGCAGGAGGATCATAAATTCCAGGTCAGCCTGAGCTACATAGTAAGACCCTATCTTGAAAAAAAAAAAAAAGAAGATTTAACAAAAATCTGAACAGTTCTACTTGTTCACTTGACTACACATACACAATACCCTTTCTCAAAAAAGAATAAACATGAGCCACTTAAGCTTTCAATTTTCAGAGTGAAATGATATTGGCTTGCCTTCAAGGAGACCCAGTCACTTTTATCAAAAGCTTTTTATTCCTTCATGACTAAGACCCAGAACATGGAATGGATAGGACTTCTTAGAATAGTGATGGTGTGGTTGAAACACCTACCTTCAGGAAAGTATACAACAGCAATCCCCAAGAAACCTCATGATGGGAGCAAAGAGTGCAGAAACTGAGAGAACGTGCAGAAAACTCGAACACAAGAGTGAACTAGGTTGTAAATGGAAAATTTTGCTAAAAATCTATGACTGGAACTGTGCTGGAGATAAATTTGCCAGCCCTCTCTGGAGTGGATTAGGTGGATAATGGCAACTTGGAATAAGAAAAAGGGTGAATCAGAAAATGGAAACTACCTAGAGTATCAGCAGAAGTAATTTGAAGAAACTCATTGATGCTGTTAACTTACATGTTCCCTTTGAAGGGCTTAAAGAAGTTCCCATACTTCCTGATAAACTGTAATAGGGAAACCATTCCCTCTGTTGGCAAAGCATCCTGTGAAAAACTTGCTCCGGTTACTTTCCCCAGGAAGCCTTTTCTCCTTCCTATTCCTACTCCTGCAGCACTCTGCAGCCTCTCTTGGGCACCTACTTATCCATGGTTTTTCTGTTGTTAGGTTTTATTTTTACTGTTGTTTATTTCTGTCAGCTCCTTTAAATAACAAAACTGCCTAATTTAGTACAGCTTTAAAAAAAACTAGTAGGAGTGTCTTTCTTATGTGAATTAAGTTTTAAATGACTTACAGTGAAATCACACAAGGTTAATATAAACACAGAAAGTCAGAGGAAAGGGGTGTCCATAATGTTCCTTCTCTTTAGGTTAACCCATACTTTAGCTCAACAATTTCCTCTACACAAAGACCTTGCGTAAATCATTAATGAATAAGGGAGAAGAGTGAAGGATGAGACATGCCTCCTCTCAAAGGGGAGGGAGGAAACAAAAAATAGCTGCTTTCATTGGGGGCAGGAAGGAGGTTATTTCATTAAGAGCCAAACACTGAAACTATCTCACTACAAACAATTGTTAGGCTTGAAGGCTCCATGTGAGCAATTAGTCCAGCAAAGGCTCAGCTGGAATGGAATGCAGCGCCTGCCAGGATCCAGGGACAGGGACTGACACAGGCTTAAGTATCAGAATCATGGCATTTGGAATCCCAGCATATCCCAGTGAGGATGCCCACAAAACACATTCTGCCCTGCCTGGCACCATTCTGTGCCTGACCCAGCAAAGACTGAGGATTTGAAGAGATGAGGAAAACTGAGTCAGTGGGAGCAAATTAAAAATTACTCCACCTAGACTGACAAGTTGTAGCAAGTTTAACAAGTACAAAAGTTAGCTCTCCTGAGAAATCTAATACATTCTAATCACTGCTTTAATGGCTAGTGGCAGGCTGTAGGAGGGGGCGTGTGCAGAGGCAGTCGTCCCGGTAGATCTGCTAGTTCAAAACTTGACATTATAATTAAACTAATTTCCTAACACTCATGACCTCACTTCAGGTAATAGATGCTAACTTGGTTTGCCAGCAGTAACTGTCTTCACCTACTGAGGACATTCAGTTCTCTGTATTTTTTAGGTTACTTCAGATTAAAGCTTTAACTTCCTCTTTGCAACAACCAATGTCTACTCATATCCTCAAAAAAATACTGAAGATGCAAAAAGCCTGACCATGGGTGGAGGCTGGGGAGGGAGGATGCAGTTAGAAGAAGCCAATGAAGAAGGGTGATACAGCCACTGATCCATGAGATTGCTTGACCCCACCACCCTGATGACAAATTAATTTCTTCCCCTGGGTAGCTGAAAGGATAAATGCCCTAACACTGGATTCTGGAGACACAAGATCCAGTCCTGATCCATAATTCACAAACCCAGGAGCTTCCTGCACTGCTGACCTGAGAGACTTTGCAGGTAAATGCTTCCACACATGTCAATCACTACCTCAACCAGCAGCTAACAGCAGGAGGGGGTAAGCAGATATGCAGGGAAATTCTGCTGGGCTAAGAGGTACACAACTGCTTCAAAGTCAGCCAGGTGCACCTGCTATAGCAGAACTTGGCATTATTATCATTAATCTCCCGTATAATTGAGTTTTGGCATTCACCTGCATATACTAAGTTCTGAGTGCATATTTTCTGAGAAAATAGGTAGTAAGCATCAGAGGAATGATAGGAAAGTTGGTAGTAAAAACATTCCACATTCAAATACTCCCAGCTGTTCTTCTGGACCAATGGTTCCCAACCAAAGCAGTTTCTCCTCAAGGGCCAATGCCCATGTCTGGAGAAATTTCTGGTTGTCGTAACTGGCAGAGGGTGGGAACATGTTAGCATCTAGTGGGCAGAGAACAGGGGATGTTGCTAAACATTCTAAAATGCACAGGACAGCTCTCACAACAAGGAATTACTCAAAATGTCAACAGTGCTGAGGTCAAGAAATCCTACTCTAGGGGAACCATTTTTAAGCCATGTGGTTTGAAACAGGTGAGATATAAAAACATGCCAATACTGCAGAAGAGACGTCTCTTGTTCTGTAACAAACATTTAGAATAGTGCTATGGTTTGGATGAATGCTACCCAAATGTCCATGTGTTAAAGGCTTGGGCCCCAGGGTAGTGCTATCAAGGAGCAATGGAACATTAAAAGGTGAGTCCTTGTGTTTTCAGAGAAGGGTGTGGGAGTCCCACCTATTCTTCTTCCTCTTTGCTTTCTGGCTCATAATGTAAGCAGTTTTTCTCCACTTGTACTCCACCATGATGTGCTACCTCTGACAAAGGCCCAAAGTTCTGGGACCATTTGGTCCTGGACTGGGCTCACCAAACCTCTTCTTTTTATAAATTAATTTCCTTGGGTTTTTTTCATAACAGTGACAGAAAGCTAACTAATAAAAGCACAGAACTCTAAAACTGGAAGAAATCGTAGGAATTTTTCTAGTCCAAGCACAGGTGAAGAACCTAAGGTCCAGAGAGGTCAAGTCAAACAGAAAGTTAGAAATATCTTTACACAATCCAAATGTGTGTTTTACATAGCAGATGCTCAATCTATACCTTAGCCAGGTGTGGTGGCACAAGTCTGTAATTTAGCACTTAGCGGCCTGAGGCAGGAGGGTTATGAGTTCAAGACCACATAGTGGGCAATATAGTGAGACCCTGTCTCCAAAAACAACAAAAAAAAGTTATCTTGTATTTTAGGTGTTCCTGTTTATTATAACATGCTCCACTCTGCTGCTCAGAAGTTAAACATCTGAGATTGAGCGTGGAGACTTGCTCACATCCCTTCCCATTGGGAAGAAGACTGTTACATACTAGAGCTCGAGACCAAGTAGCCAGACGGAAACTGTTTTTCAATTGTTCCTAGCCAAACACATGCCTTTCATCCAGGCAGAGGCACTAAACAAAACCTTCTGAGTCAACAAATGAGCCCTATGCAAGGCCATGGGCATGTGAACTTCTTTCCACCAGAACTGCAGAAATTTTCCCAACACATTAGAGGAGGCCCAACCAATGGCAAACAGACGCAAATACACATTTAACTGAATCAAAACCACATCCAAACAAACTAGAGAACTTTCATTTCTAAACAAACAGCAGACTAGAAATGAATTCTGGGATCAAAGTACAAATGGTCAGTCCAATGGCATGCTGAATGTTAGTTATCAGAACAGCCCTGCCTTAAAAAGGAGGAAGGCAAATGGTAAACATTTGCCCCATCAGAAAGAAAAGACTCACTGTGGTGTTTTAAAGCCTAAATGTTTCAGAATTGAGTAAAATGAGGTCAAAAGGTAGTCCAAGAGTTAAGGGCAAAGACGTCAGCCACATGGATAGAAATGTCTTGCACAGCGAACGTTATGCAAAAGAACCTGGGGCAGGTCTCTAGGAAAATAATCACAGCTTCAAAAGAGCCAAAGTAAGGTTTTTCATATTAAACAAACCTGTTCCAGTGGATACAAGGAGCGCTTCAAAAACTGCTGCAAGGTTATTATTAAGTTCTACAGCACCTGAGACCACTGTCTAAATATTTACTCCTATCCCACAAAAGGGCTAAAGGACTGCTATTTCAGCCTCCTGTTCCACACCCCTTGCTACATTCCCAAAATGATGATGTGTCACTTTAAAACCTCCTACAGAAAGGACAGAGGATTAGCTTCGTGACTGATTCCAGTTTTCAATGCCACACAAATGCCAGAAGCACACAAATGAAGCAATTACCACAAAGCAGCTAAAAGATTCACCTGCTGAGCTTCCTCAAATGTCACAAATCTTAAATATGTGAGTTAGCAGTATAAAGGTCAATGTCAGGAAAAACAAAAACAAGAGTATGATCTGAATACATGTCAATGAATAACACTATTCATGATGAGGACAGAGATACTACCAGACACTGTGCACTAGGTATATAGGCAAACAAAGACACAGTCCCTGCCCTTACAGTCTAAGGAATGCCCAGTTCAAAAAACAAACTTAAAAATGCAAAAGTATTACCCCTTTCTACGAATGTAGGGCCTCTAATCCACCTTCCCAGTGGATAAATTTACATGAAGGACTATGTGAACAATGTCAGAGGCTAATCAATGCCATGACAACATTCCCACACAACAGGCATATAATGGAAGGGCTAGCCCATCTTTCTGTGATATGACCATCAAGCTGTCCTTATGGTCAGGCCAGGGTTCTCCCCAGCTCTCCACTCCTTGCTTCAACACATGTCTACTGCAATGAAGCATTTCAGAATGACAGCCCCCATAGCAAAGCCATGTCCAAATGGGCCCAACCCAGAAAAATCCCCCAACTTTTTAAAATTAGAGGGCCCCCATGACTATTCAAGCCTGAAAGCATAAATAACCCATCAGCGTAACAGCATCACAAAAATTTACATTGCACCATTATTTATAATGCTGAAAACCCAAATGCCCAATGCTAGAGTATAATAAAGATATTTAAATGTCTTACTGGCATGAAGATGCTTTTGATAAATGTGAAGTGAAACAATAATGATATAAAATCATGGTTTAAACTCCAGTAAATAGTGGTTGATAAGAATTATGAGAACTATCTTCTGCATGATTCTTTTTTTTTCATATTTTCCAATTATTTTTATCATGAATGTGGGTAACTTTCATAGTCAGAAAAGATGAAGGCTCTGCTTTTTAAAGAAGCAACATTTAACATTTAGATAATAAGCACAGGGACTCTCACACTTTCCCACTCCCCCAAATCTCATAAGACAAAAAACAACTGGTCTGAGTCTGTTCCTGAGGCAACAAATCTCCCCCCACACCCCCCAAATGCATGAGAAGTCTAATGAAACTAGGACCTATTTTTACTCTGCCATAATATAGACCTTTAATTTGAGTCACTTGTGTCAGGATGCTTCTGCTCAGACTAGGCTCAGAACCAACTTAGCTCCTGGTTCCAACATCGCATGTATGACGCCTCCTTGCTCTCTCTCATACAAACTGGGAGCATGTATACAGCAGAAAGACCTTTTCTCAAATTTCTCCTCTGGCTGCAGCAGTTTCACTAATCAAACTCGTAGTGCCCACTGTCAGAGCAACAAAGTCAACCCCTGTTCCAAACAGCTACTCTGGGTAAAAATGTTTCCAACACAGTACAAGCGCCTAAATCTTTTAATTTTTTTTCTTTTTCACATCAGCCATCACACTCAAATTGGTTTCCATGAGCCCTGCTGTTTACAACTATTTTGAACAAAAGCAGGCAGTTTCCTTCCTATTTCTCCTCTAAGGATGTATGTCAGTTATCACATGAGTTAAAAGATCAACAGCAGCCAAAAGATATCAATGTCCCCTCCCCCAGAGCTTTATATTGCAGCATAAGATGTCACCAGCTTACACAGGAAATTCTGTAAGAATGGCATAAGAACAAAAACAACCATCTAAACATTAAGGCAAGATTTTTAACTCAAGGCTAGAAATGAGAGAACTCATTTCTAAATCCACACATTTGGGGACTTCCAGTTAGACAAGAAAAGAGGAAGAAGTTAAAACAACAAAATTTCCTGCATGTGCACTTCAGGCAAATGAGGTGAAGAAACATTTGAGGATTAACAAATAAACCTACATCTATGGATATAGACTGTGCAGAAGAGACTTAAGAGATTTGTGATGGAAGCATCACTAGCAACTGCTACAAAAGACAGAATGGCTTTTTGAAAAGGGGAAAGAAAAGATGCTCTATGTACTCCAATCACCAGGCCAGGACAGGCTTATCAGCTACAGCTGAGCATAGGTCCCTCTCCCTCCTGCATTTGCTTTACTACTCTCAATACATCATAAAATGGGAGCATACATATTTGGTTTGGGGGTAGGAAAAAAATGACATGAAGCTGGAGGGATTTTTGGACTAAGATATTTCTTTTTTTTTTTTTTTTAAGTTCCGGCTTACAATTAAAAAAAATCAACAAAGTATTCTCTATGTGGACTTATGAAAGAAATCCAGTACTTAGATAAATTGTATTCTGTATGTATTTAAAAGCAAACTGGACTACCTATAAGAAATTGGGAGAAAAAAGTGCTTTGGTCAACAAAAATTGTCAGAGAATCACTTCACATTAATTGAACGTGAAAAGAAGTAGCAATAATAAGAGCCTATTAGGAGCCAGTGACATGTTACAAAGGTGGATGCCAGGGCAAGTTTCAGGCACACAAGGGGGAAGACAGAGGGAAGAGGAGAATCATACAAACCGAAGACAACCACCAGGGCAACCTTACGCTGCTGGATGGCCACAGCTGAAGGTAAGTTTAGCTCATCTCTGGGGTTTTCCACTGAGGAGGAACCTGCTGTTCAGCCATCAATGACCCAGCATTCACCAAGCCTGTGAGGAAGTACAGGATCCAGAAGAGGGGGGTAGGGAAGGAGAAAGTTTGAAAAAGGGAAGAGTCAAGCACAGTAGTGGAGTATTATACTTATTAAATATGAAGCTTCAAAAAGGCATAGATGTACCTTTTAGGCTAAAATGGCCTGGCTGAAAAGAACAGATACTCTGGAAAGCAGTCAGATATGCTTTTTAAAATACTAAGTGATATTTTCATTATATCTGTGAATTATAGCAATACCTACAAAGAAGAAATTAGCTTTTTGGAGAAAAGTGAAAATCAATGATATATGTGATTTTTACAGTCGGTGATTCAAACAATGAAGTCCCCTTATTGTGGTCTCTGAAGAAAGTAACAGCCCCAAAGCAAACATATTCAGACTGCACTGAAACCCTTTACTGGCCTAGTTCCACCAACTCCATTAATGTAGCAAGGGCCCAAATGCAGGTGACCTGATTGACAAAAAAAGCACTTCTAGAAAGTGCTGAACTTGTATCATGAAACTCAGACACTTTCATAATCAAGAAAAAAATTAGCAGCAGTAATTTGGGAAACTTTGCCTCTAGACAGAACAGCAGCAACATTCCTTATAAGACAAAATGCTTTTCAGGTTTAGTGTAGAAGAAAATAGATCCAGGGATCTCACCGTCCCAATGCTAATCTATCAGAAGTGTTTGGGGAAAATCGACCAGCCAACCAACAGACTAGCTAAAATGATGTGCAACCCAAGGAAAATTAGTACCCAAAGCAATTACCTTACTATCGAGGAAAGACTAATCAGTACCGTGTTTTAAGCCTGCCATCCTCAAAACTCTTTGGGCATCCTCTGTGCCACTCACTCAAGTCACCCAGCTGTAAATGGATGCATATCAATGTAAAAACACCAGGCCTAAGCCTAAAACTTCCCAGAATTGACAGGGTGGGAACTTATTTTCTGAGTAAAGGAAAGATAAATCACTTCTGGCAGCCAGCAAATTCAACAGAAGTAATTTGCCTAGTCATACACCCTAATTACACAGGCTATGGCTAAGTTATTACATTACTTCCTGGGACTAATTATTATTTCAGCAACAGCCAACATTCTTTAGAAGCATAGAGGTTGTATCTGGCTGAACGCCCTTTCTATTTCTTGTCCATAATAACTCAAGTAAGCGGGAAAGATTGTATTTTAGAGGTGTTTTAAGCACCTTTGTGTTATTGCCTATTGGTGCTTGGATCCTGACCTTATTCTACTCTTAACTACATCTCCCAGCCTCCCTTGCCAAGTGGCTTCTGGATAAGTTCCCTGAATGGGAGGGGAGAAGTAAAGATTCTTTCTAACTTGGCCGAGTTCCAGCTGCCACTGGACAGCTCCACTCTCCATACTTCTGGCCCTCATGACACCAGCACCTTCTAATTTCCTTAGTGGCACCCTAGCTCCCAGGTATTGCTAATCCCTGGGTGCCTCACCAGCCGGCTTAGCTTCTTCACCCTTATATCACATATATAATCTGTGTCCTATATTAAATTCCCTCTGCTTGTATGACCCGCAGTAGTTTCTGTTTCCCTGACTGGTTCTAACTGAGAGGACCTTAAAATAGGGACTTCAAAACTTCAAAACTTTTAAAACTTATTTTTCAGAAAATAATTTTCTTAAGAATTAAAACAGGTCTGGTGGAATGGCTCAGGTGGTAGAGTGCCTGCCTAGCAAGCATGAGGCCCTGAGTTCAAGCCCCAGTACCACAAAAAAGTAAAAAAATAAACTAAGGAGGAAATTGTTAAAAAAAAAAAAAAGAATTAAAACAATTATTATTCTGATACCCTATAAAAGATGTCTTCCAGGGGCTAGGGATATAGCTCAGTGGTTGTTTGCCCAGATGCACAATTGGGTTCGATCTCCAATATAGCAAAAAAAAAAAAAAAAAAAAAGTCTTCTAGTAAGGAAGAAGAGATTTATAGATGACAAAATCTGTTCATTCATTCAAAGATTTACTGAGCCTGACCTTGCCAAGCCCCTAATCACCATTTAAGAAATTAACCAGCCTGGCACTAGTGGCTCACACCTGTAATCCTAGCTGCTTAGGAGGCAGAGATGGGGAGGATTGTGGTTTGAAGCCAGCCCCAGGCAAATAATTCGTGAGACCTATCTTAAAAATAACCCACCACAAAAAAGGGCTGGCAGAGTGGCTCAAACAAGAGCATCTGCCTAGCAAACATGAGGCAGTGCCACCAAAAAAAGAGAGAGAGAGAAAGAAATTAACCAATACAGGAAAATTGCTTTAACAATAACAAAGGAATCTGGTAGAGTGAATTAATGTTAAGGTGTTCTCTCTATATACACTTGATTCCTACCTATTCAATGTGGTCTGCTGAACTATCATATTCCAAGGACCACAAGGACCAGTATAAAACTTCTTCAAAGTTAGTATCTACTTAAACTGGCCACTTGCTCAAACAGAAGAACAACTGTGATAAGGATTTAAGCAGACGTAATAAAAAAAAGTTAGGCACTGCATACTTAGAATGAAAAACGTGTGTTTTATGCAAATCTTGCTAGGCATCTTTTTTTCATAGGGAATATCATTTGGAGGAAGAGAATTTGATCCATTTAATAAGTCCCTTTATCCCTTCTCAATGGCACAGGTAGATTCCAAATGTGGCATACAAAGCCAGAGCAATGATCATCATGAATAGCATGTCACAGTCACCAATTACATATTATCTCCCAGATGGAATTTGCAGGCAGAAGAACAGAAACAGACAATGACTCATGTGATGAACAGTTATACAGACAACTGTTCCCGAGAAAGCTGCCACCTACATACCATAATGACATAAAATGAAAAATGCAAAAAAGTCATTTTCTGATTTATCTAGAAACAAAAGACTTGCTGCAAAGTGCACCTAAGCACTTTACACAGCCAAGAGCACACATCAAATACTCATTATATGCTTGAGCATGTTCAATCTCAAAAATCACTAGTGGCTCCAGAAATGACCATACTGCTGGCATTTCATTAAATTTTTCTAAGATAATTTAATGTATCCATGAAGGTACATTTCCATGGAGATTATATGAACACAATACTCAGCGCTTTCTTACTACCCACCAATTAGAAGGCATTACATATCTGTAATACTAACAATACCATTTGGGTAGCAGGTGAACCTACAACACTATGGGCTTCCCACACACAGGGAGTCTAAAGCATGACACATTTCACAATTTGAGTGCAATAAAGAAAGCCAACTACAGGATGGAATTTTAACCTTATAGGCCCTGGACTAGTTGCCCAACTCTATCCCTGGTCACTCCCTAGCATGTAGTCAAAATACACTAAAAAAATCCCTCCATCCACCCACTCCTCCCCCCACACACATATTCAGCACACCCTGGAGGCTTTGCACATTGTTTGCTCTTCCTAGAATGCAAAGTCCCCTAAATTCATCTGGCAAAGTCTTGCTTATCCCTTAAAGACAAGGGCTAATTGTCCCTTTGAAGCCATAATCCTGACGAAGATCCATTTGCCTTCTTCAATGCTTTCATTGCTCCCTGTACACAATGCCATAACAATAATTATCACATTGCATCATTTGCTCAGCCTCAAAAATGCTTCACTATTAAGACTGTAAAATCCTTGAGATCAAAGAAACTTGTCATTGAATCCATGTGTCCTATTACAGTGTCTGACACAAAGCAGGTGCTTAAAAACTATTTTCTGAATGCAAATGTGTGGTGTGGAATCTCAGGCCTGCAAAGATTGCCCCCCTCCAAGACATGGCACTTTGGGCTCTTTCTCTCATTGACACAGAATGATATTTAAAGGACAAACAGAGTCAGGTGGTTCATTCCTGTAATCCCAGCTACTCAAGAAGCAGAAATCAGGAGGATCCTGGTTCAATGCTCCCTGTACACAATGCCCTAACAATAATTATCACATTATTCAGCCTCAAAAGTGCTTCACTACTAGACTGTAAAATTCTTGAGATCAAAGACCTTTGTCATTGAATCCATGTGTCTTACTACAGTGTTTACTACAGTGAAGACAGTTCGGGCTCTGTCTCAAAAAAAAAAAAAAAAAATCACAAAAAAAGGGTTGGCAGAGTGACTCAAGCAGTAAGAGCACCTGCCTAGCAAGCATGAAGCTCTGAGTTCAAACTCCACTGCCACTTAAAAAAAAAAGAAAGAAAGAATAAATAGGAAAATATCTCCAGGGAAAAGGTTTAACATGCTGATATGAAAAAAGACAATTTAATGGGGACGTCAATAAATTACCTTCGATAAAACTGTGTCAATCTAATCATGAGAGTCAGAGTTAAAGTGCATTAGCTGTAAAGACCCAGAAAGGTATTTGATCTTGGCTAGAGAAGGGTGTTTAACAAGATCTCCTGTTAGTCTAGACTTAATGAATTTTTTTAACCTTTCAAAAGTTTCCGTAGCTACAACTAAAATAATTAAAAATTGATAGGAAAGTTTGTGTTCTAAGGAATGATATCTAAAAAGTAATGATTTTACTATCAAAAAACAAGCAACAGGAAAGCTAGAGATTAATGGAACAGAAGTTAAAATTTAGGACTACTCTAAGAAAATTTCCACACAAAGAAATGCCCTGATCTAATCTTTCATACACATTTGAAAAGTCAGGAAATATCCAGAGACCATCCTCAAGGGTAACATAAAGTACATTAGCAAAAACGCCAGAATTCCCATATATAGGAAATGGTTTTGGCTTAAAGACTAGGGAATTACTGTGAGTCATTGTGGCTTCCAGTAACCAGAATATTTTAAGGGAAAAAAGTTAAAAAGTGAAACTACTAAAATAAAGATAAAACAAGTAAGATAAACAAGGTAAAAATAAAATGATGCTTACATTTGAGTAAGGCACTTTCATATTTCCAACTGAGAAAATCAAACTGGGAAAGGAAGGTGGCATGCTAAAGGTCACAAAGCAACCATCAGCAGAAGAAAGGAGCTGAACTACACATCCTTCGTAAGCCTTCTGCCCCTTCCACTACTCTGCTTCCTTGCCACCTCAAAGGTGGGCTTGTAAGTGCTGGGGATGGGCCTCGGACACTTTCTAAGATGCCTCCATGCAAGAAGCTACCTTCCAAATCACTTAGGAATACCTGCCAAAGAATATATAACCTGGGTATAGCCTCAGACAACACCTAGAGAAGTAAGGCAGAAACTCCTCATTCTTCATGGTCTCCACATTATACTGTTGACTAAAAAATGCACAGTACCAAAAGCTCTGGGTAATATGCTACTATTTCCATAAAAACACTGAAGAGGAATATATTTAAACATCATTGTTTATTCATGAATATATTGTTTCTCAAAAGCCAGGTAAGAAATGTCCAGGGAAGGAAAAAAAGAATCAGAGACAGTGACTTCTCAGTGTACATGTTGTCTTTTGGACCTTTTGAATTTGAATTTTGAACCACATGAAAATGTTTTTTTTTTCAGTATTGGGACTTGAACTCAGGACCTACACCTTAAGCCACTCCACCAGCCCTTTTTTGTGATGGGCTTTTTTGAGCTAGGATCTCCCAAACTATTTGCCCAGGCTAGTTTTGAATCTCCACCCTCTAAAATGCTACCATTTTTAAAAATGAAATTTAGCTGGTCACCGGTGGCTCAAACTTGTGATCCTAGTTACTCAGGAGCCAGAGATGAAGAGGATTTTGGTTGGAAGCCACTCCTTGCAAGAGTTTGAGAGATCTAGAAACACCCAACACAAAAATGGGCCAGCAGAGTGGCTCAAATGCTAAGCACCTGCCTAGCACCTGAATTCAAACCCCAGTACTGCTAGAAAACTTTTTTTAATTTAAAAGTATATAAGGCTGGCAAAGGGGCTCAAGTGGTAGTGTGCCTGCCTAGCAAGCATAAAGCCCTGAGTCCAAATTCCAGTACCACCAAAAAAAACAAAAACTCCAGAGCTGCCAAAAAACAGATACTAGGTAGACAGATATCTATATCTGTGATACAGTATATCCATAAATATGGGGGGTGGGACAGAGGCAGTAGTTAAGTGGTAAGAGGTGAAATACTCCAGAGACAAGATACAGCAGCAGAGGGAAAAGTAAAAACTTACTACAAAGATTCTCTCAGGCTCCAAAATTCCAGTTGGTATTTCAAGGTCTGAGGTAAATATTCCTCAAGATCACGAGGATCCTATTCCAGTTTAGTTCTTTGGCCACTAAACAGTGCTCCATTTCTCACAAATTTTGATACTGATAAAGGAGTGTCCCAATACTAGACACAATGATCATCAGAAAGGCAAATCATTCCCAGTAAATAAAGGTGTCACCTTCTGCCAGGCGCTCACACCTGTAATACTAGCTACTCAGGAGGCAGAGATCAGGAGGATGGAGGCTCAAGGCCAGCACGGGCAAATAGGTGGTGAGACCCTATCTTGAAAAAAAAAAAAAAAAATCACAAAAAAGGGCTTGTGAAGTGGCTCAAGGTGTAGGCCCTGAGTTCAAGCCCCAGTACCACCAAAAAAAAAAAAAAGAGTGTCAACTTTATTTAAACCACAGTCTCAGAAGAGTTGCTTAGAGGTTCACTCCAGGCACAGTGATAAGATCTGGAACTGCATAGCTAAAGACCAAGCCATAGACCAATACAGAGGAAGTAAGACCTGGCCCATTTTACTAAAAAATGGGATTGGCCTCAACTCATC